TATTAACTGCAAGTGGTAATCTTGTTGTAATGATCAAACATTAACAATAATGCATGCTAAATAATAAATTTATCTTTAGATCGATTTATTACTCACATATAATTCCTTATAATTGTTACATGTTTACCATCACAAGTGTGTATGCGGTTCGGCCAAATATTAATTTTCCTTTGGGTCGATCAATACACGCATGAACACACACACATAACATCCAACATTCGTCACGAACTATCTACACAAGAGAGGTCACTTTGGCAACATCATGTTTCAATAAACTTATTAAAAATGATGGACAAATTTATAAAGTACCAATAATTCGAATTTAATTGAACCTTTAATTAAAAAAAATTTTTATTTTATTTTATTTTTTTAAAATACAGAAAACTACATGTCGTTTACTTACGCTGTAGAAACGACATGTCGTTTCTGGTTGTCTTCAACCTCCAGACGGGTCAAACGACCCAATTCGAACCCAAATCAGAACCCAACGGTTTCAAAGTCATTTTTACACCAAAATGAAGCCTTCAAACCTCAAAGTTGTTATAAATCTAATTTCTAGATGATTTCTAACCCTTATTTATATAAAAACTTATAAAATCTTAAAGGTAATTTAAATTACTTAAAACAGGAAACCCAAAAATTTCTCAATAAAAAACTGAACGTGAATTTATTCTGATACTAATTGTTAGAACTAAAAAAAATCACATTTAATTTCAAGAGAAATAAACCATAGATTAGCTAAAGTGTACCGAAGTCCATTAGATCGATTGCACAAGGTATGATCTTCTAATCTGCAAATTTTCTAGAGTTTTTGTAGTTTCTTGTTGATGGGGTGCAAGAAAAAGGATGCGTCTCTCTGCAAATCGGGGACCATTACATTTAAAAGTAACGAAGAGACGATTACAAAAAAAATTTGCTTAATTATAATTCTGGCCCTCATCAAATTAGAATTTGCACTTATGATATCCGCACTATAATATCATGATAAATGTGCCCAAAGTCATAAACTTAATTCTAAATTAGACCACAACAATTTTGACTTATTAAATGATGACCCAACACATTTATTAATTACATTGTAGTCCCAAAAATAATCCAACATGTTGTAGGTAGTTATTATGGGGAGTTATATCTTACCTGGGGATGTGTTGTTATACCGTCTTTGTGGTGTCGTCTTCATGGTGCATTTTGATACTGTATCCGAGATGTGTCGTTACAACATATTTAGAGTGAGTTATTACACCATCTTTAGATGCATTGTTGCACCTCGGGGTGCTGCGTTATATCATTTTTGATATACGTTATTACATTGTCTTTGGGGTTTGTCTTTCTTATCATATTTGGAGTTCATTGTTGCCCCAACTTATGGGTGCATCATTGCACAATATCTGAGGTGAGTCGTTGCATTGTACTTTATTCCCCTGCAAGATCCATCAATGGTAACAAGCAGGGGGGCGGCCAAAGGTAGTCGACAACGACCAACAAGCGGTGGTCAATCATGGTCGACAGCTATAAGAACAATAAGTGTTCATTGAGTCTTTGGTATAGAACAATACTGTAATTTGATTGCTTCAGGGGGCAATCGACGACAGTCGACGACGACCAACAAGCGGTGGACAATTATGGTCGGCAGTTATAAGTGCAACAAGTGTTCGTCGAGTATTTGGTCTGGAACAATATTGCAATTCGACTGCTTCTTCAGGTCTAGTTCTACTTATTTTCTTTCATTTAGGTCCAGCTCGAGGCCCCCATTTAATGAAGGGGGTAGGGCTTTATTTATAGAGTCTGAGAGTGTCTCCCCTGCAAATAAGAAATTTGGACTACTTCATTAGAGAGTCTAGAGAGATTCTCATGATCAAATACATTTTGTGGTCATTTAAGTACCTTCATAATGTCAAAATGAAGTGATTTTGGTCTTGTTTGATTTGTTTCGCTGAGACACTTGATTTGTTTATAAGCTTGCCAGTTTTGAAATCAATTTGACCTTACAATTAGCTGCTTGAAACTTTTATAAGTGGTTTGATTGTTTCATTCGGGTTTGTTTGACTTGGGTGGATCAGTTTTGGTGTTATTGGGCCCGCCTCGTCGAGCCAATCTATTTGACCCTAAATTTGTTTATATTGAAGTTCAAGACATTTTTAATTAGAGTTTGGATATTTCTTGCTAAAGGTGTGTTGGGATTCACAACATACCTTAATTCACAATGTAAAATAGGAGAGAGAGAGAGAAAGAGAGAGGAAATGCATGGTAACAAATATTAATAAGAATTGTTGATTAACCTTTTATCAAAGAAACGATTCCTTATATGTTTGTTTATGCTTTAATGGAAGTGTTGCAAAATATTTTAGATATTTTACATGTATTGATTTATGTTTCGACTATACTATGAGTATATTTTATTTTAAATTATTTTTAATTGAGCCGACTTATGAGCTAACGAGTCGAGTCAGGGTGGGCTTGTGTTTGACTCATTAGATCATTCAGCACACTTAAGCTTGAACCACTTTAACCCCTAGTTCCCTTATTGACATTTTATCCGTCCGATCAGCAGATTCATGAGATCGTGGCCATTCATCTTCTCTATAAAGTGAAATAAATCTAGGGTTCATCCAACAACGACGGCTGTATTTTGAGAATCGTTACGCCAGTGCTCCAGCACCTTCTTCTTCCCGGTCTCGCGGCCATTGTTTACAAAAATGGTAAAATTTCTTTACTCCGCCTTCAAATCCCTCGAATTCGTGTTTTACAATCAAACGAGTTCTTTGTTTTCTCTGCCAGATAATTTCGAAGAAGAATCGCCATGAGATCTGCAAGTACCTCTTCCAAGGTCTACACTTGACATCTGAACTATCTTTGAGTTTATTTATGGATTTCTGACTTTTAATACTTTAAATTGAACAGAGGGGGTGCTATATGCGAAAAAGGACTACAATCTAGCGAAGCACCCAGATATTGACGTGCCGAATCTACAGGTGATCAAGCTGATGCAGAGCTTTAAGTCGAGGGAATATGTTAGGGAAACCTTCGCGTGGATGCACTATTACTGGTACCTCACCAACGACGGCATCGAGTATCTCAGAACCTTTCTCAATCTCCCATCCGAGATTGTGCCAGCCACCCTGAAAAAGTCGGCTAAGCCTCCTTCTCGGCCTTTTGGTTCCGGGCCTCCGGGTGATCGCCCAAGGTATTTATGAAACATATTATCGTTAATTTGCTTTCTGTTGAGGCTTCTAACCGGTCTGGTTTGCTTTGGTGTGTTGTTGCAGAGGGCCGCCGCGTTTTGAGGGAGATAGGCCGAGGTTCGGCGATAGGGATGGGTATCGTGGGGGGCCACGCGGTGGAGATTTTGGTGGGGATAAGGGCGGTGCTCCTCCAGAGTTCCAGCCATCGTTTATGGTAAAGTCTGCTTTGCTATGGCTGAATTGTTTGCATTCTTTATTTCAATGGAGAATAATTCTCAAGTAATTTCTCCTTTATTTGTTGATTTTGGAAGTTTATCATTGATTGCTCAATTTATTTTAGTCACGATGCGATTTTCTTACATAATTTGTTTGATCGATGTGTTTTGTGCTTCTCATTTTTGACGTGATTCTGTTCTGTTGACAATGTGCATCTCCTACAACTTTTGCATTCATTGAGGATGGTTGCGTAGCATTTTTACTTGATATTCATGAGTTTTTTTTTTTTAATTTTTTTTGAAGATTTGCGAACTTACCACTCAATTCCTACATATTTACATATATAACTCCTAAGCTTGAAGTTTTATTTACACATGCATAAAAAGATGCAAAAAAGTTGGTATTTTTTATTTGATATTAGGGATTTGGATGGTATAAATGTAAGAAGTAAAATTTAGGTGTTAGGGATGTAGATACATCAGAATTGCGTGGGTTTGTATGTAAATGACCCCTTTTTATTTATAAACTGTTGTTTCATAATGTTATCAGATGGAGGACTATTGTGCTTTATATATATATATATATATAATATTTATTTTAAAGACTTATAGTTCAAGATTGAGTGTTTTGTTGGGTTATGCATGGTGGGAGCTTCACTCACTTTGCGTGAATTTTTTAGATTTGAATTTATAAATCTTTTTGCATATTGTGGGTGAGAAATTATATGTGATTGTAAAGTTATACTTGATGAGTTTCGTCCATACTGAATTAAAATTTAGGAGGGCATCATATATATGTTTTCTGTAGAAAATGGAAAATATTCATTATTGAACTGGTTAGAGCAATGTTTTGCTTTCAGAACATCTTCTTAGTTCCTTTACTAACATTGGTGGAATTCGCAATGTAGCATGAATTTCTCTTCGAATTATACATCAAGATTGATTTATTGCCACCTTGTGGGGTTGTTTGGTGTAAGATTCAACTAGGATTTTGCTTAGTTGTTATTCTTTTTTTGGCCTTTAAATCCTACCACCATGTGTAATTGTGTTTTCTAGTTATTTGCATGTCCTACGCTTCACTTTTTACTTTAATACGACCCTAATCTTTCACATCACATCAAATATATCATCATTTTAAATTTTTAAAAAAATGAAGTGAACCTTTTCATGTATAGGTATGGTGGCATGTATGTGAAAAATGAAGTTTAGGTGTGAAATATATAAATACATAAGAATTGAGTGGTATGTGTATAAATCTTCCTGTAATAACTGCATCGATTCCTTTTTTTTTTTTTGTAGCGAGCATCAACCTTGTCTTCCTTTATTTATTTTTATATTCTCCCATTAGCACCTCCAAGTGCTCCTCTGGTCTATTTAGCTTCCACAGAAACTAATTTTCCCACTTCATACAGGCCTCGGGTCCGTATCATTATTCCAGGCATCTTTTTTCTCCGTTTGAATTGATAATTCTAGGATCGGAACTGCTGTTCTCTTTACGAAATGCGGAACAAAAATAAAAGCTTGTTCAATGTTTGAAAGATAAATTAATGGGGCATTTACAGGGATATGTAAATATGTGAGAATTGTGTGCTATGCATGTTAATTTTCCTAAATTAGCTGTTCACAACTGTTCTTCTTTGAATAGGGAGTTGGATTCTATTTTATGGAATTAGTTTTGGATTGAATAAAATTTGAAATTATAATTTTTACTTTAAGCTTTTTGCACCCCTCCCTCTCAAAATTTTCAGCCAGCAGCAATCGCTTTCTCCTCTTTTATTTGTATTCTCCTATCAGGTCCCGCAATTCTTTTCCTGCAACTTAACTCATGCCAGTTCATCTAAGCCACAAGTCTTCAGCATCAGTGCAAGTGCTTAATCTCCTGTGTATCAATGCAGACTGCATGTGCATGGCTGTTCTTTTCTTTACAAAATCAGAAAAAAGGGGAATTTACATATATACCTTACCATTCTCATGTTTTTACACATCTAACACCTAAACCTTCATATTTATGTGCATACCACTCAAATTTTGAACATTACATTAAAAACAGCACAATCACTACATTTCTAAAAGCGAAATACACCTTTTCATGCTTAGGTTTATGACACCAAGATGTTATTAAGTGTAAATATCAAACTTTGGGTGCTAAGAATTTGTGGCATGTATATAAATGTCCTAGAAAATGTTTACTCGATATTTGGAGGAGAATTTAGAGGATTATTAGAAGTACCAATAAACCATATAAATGTGATCAGAATGAAGAGGAGTTTTTACCAATCCAAATATTGACTCTAGTTTGATCATGCTCTTTTAATTTGATTCAACCCCAATATAAGTTTTCAGATTGATTGTTTTGTTTTATCCACATAACTGGTTTTGCTCTAGTATTATTGCCCTGTACACTCTCCTTTCTAAATCCTACAAAGATAATTCTGGTTGTAATACTAAAAATAATATTCGATAAATGGGGCATTTACATATATGCCACACAATTCTTAATTGTTTGCATATCTAACACCTAAACATTCATATTTACATGCATACAACTAAAATCTTTAACTTCACATTAAATATATCTCCACTACTTTTTAAAGATGTACACATTTTCATGCACAGGTTTATGACATTAAAGTGTTACAAGTGTAAATATCAAACTTTGTGTTAAATATGTAAATACATAAGAATTGTGTGGTGTTATATATGCAAATATCTCTTTGTAGTTTTGTAAGATCTTAGTTGCCTTGGAAAGGTAGGTAGGTGTGGAGCTTTTTCTCTAACTTTTTAACGACTAGTGAGTGACTACCTCATGCACTACCATACCCAAGGACCTTATTTTCATCCTCTTGGGAGGAGTTAGATGTCAATCCTATCGAAATAGGGTTATGTATTACTTCGAGGATTCGAGATTTAAGAAACAGTTAATTATTCATAAGTTCATTGAAACAATAATGCATTAAAATTTTTTAATAAATTTATTAATCAAATTGACATAAATTGAATTAATTATGAATTAGCTAACATCAAGATATTTATCAAGAATGAATGCAAATTAATTTATCATTAGTTATCAATTAATGGATATTAATGATTAAAGTATTTTAGTAGAGTATTAATATATTAATTGAGATGACTAAATTATAAGAATTGCCAACACCATCTCACATAATCTTGTTGGATTTGTAGTTAAATCTCGCATTATTTAAGGCATAAATGTTGAAAATAATTGTTAAACTGTTGAATTCTGATTTGTTCGTGAATCACACACTAAGAAATAATATAAGAAATGAGAGATGATTGAACAATAATAAACAACAATGTCTTGTCTATCTCTAAAATGTTGTCCCTTTTTATAGGCGAGAGAATAATAGTGATATTACATTTCTGCTACTGCTTTGATGGGGTGATGTATAAGATATTCTAGGTATTATATATATATATATATATATGAGTTTATGGTTAAGATACTTGTTGGCTCAACTGACTTTGCTAGCATAGTTTTTGCTTGGTAAAAATGGTTCAGTTGGCTAGGCTTAGTCGGTGTTGCTGGTTGGTTGAGCTTGATTAGCTTCGCGTCGGCATGACTGACTCGGTCGGCTAGGCGATTGGTTGAACTAGTGTGACTGTCAAACCTCGATCCCTAGATAAAGAGCTCCTATCGGCAATGTGAGATTAGGTTATTGGGCAAATGGTGGATCATCATAACTCGATAGGTAGCTCGTTTCTTGCCAAGGAGAGTCTGTGGGATGACTATTAAAATATTTTATTGTCAATTCTTGGTCCCTGATGAGGAGTCTCGGGGGTGTCTGTGGGTTGCTTGGCAATAGTGAGTAATTGGATTCTTTTCTCTAGTCGTATCCACTGGAAGGTAGGTTGATGCCTTTGTTTGGCTTTCTTGTAGTGGTAAGCTCTGATGCTTATCTGTCTTGCTTTAGTCCGATAGATTCATATTTAAATCTTTTAGTTGTTCTTTTTTTCTTCTTATGGCTCGGTTGGCCTGGGGCTTTGGCTTGGACGGTTACGTCCGATCTGATAAGTGGACCTCTTTGTCTTCTTTCGGTGGGCCCTTCTTTGTCTTACTTCCTCCCTTCTAGACCGTTAAATCTCCTCGGGTATCAATGCTAGCACATTTTTGATGTACATGAACTATTTTCATTAGATTTAATATTTGTTATGTGAAATAATTTTCAGTATCTAACACTCCAAGATTTACAGGATTTATTAAACCCCACTTCTAACGAAGCAGCCTTAACCAGTCGTGCTATACTGGAATGTTTTTGAGGTAGTTCCATAGAATATTCCAATCGTGTGGCTAGGATCCTTATACCCGACCTTATTGATGGAAAACTGGGAGGACAATGTCATTGAGCTCTCGTTCAGTGCACTTGTGTTTTTCTTGCGATTTTTCTTGCGAAAAACCCAGTTGATGTTTATTTTTGAGGGCATTTGCATTCGTAGCACCCAATTCTTATATATTTACATATCTAAACGTTGCTTTTTTACATTCATATCACCCAATCATTCATATCACATCAATTACCACTTATTGACATTTTAAGTTTAGGTGTTTGTTATGTAAAAGCGGAATGTATGTAAAACTTCCTTTTTTTTAATTTTTTTTTCTTGATGGTCGCATCTGAGGCCTTGTAGTCCTGGTGATTTGACAGCCGTCGTTTGACCAGAAGGTTTCTAATTAATGAATTTTATAGCATGTTGTTAGGAGCTGTCGGTGAATTTTATATATATATATATATTTAGATGCTAGGAGGGGAATTGGCATTTCCTATTTGTATTTTATATTATCTCTTTCTAACTAAGATAAAAATCATTCTGTCAATGTAACATTATTAAATGAGTGTCGTGCATTATCTCAAATATGTTTTAAATTATTTGATTATCAATTGAAAGCATTAAAATCTTGACAATTTGGTCCCAATTCCATCACAATACAATGATCATGAGTTTAAAGAGCGTTGAATGAATTGGAGTTCAGTTCATGTTGTTTGATGATTTTAATTGATTAAATATGTAATCAAACCTTTTTTTTGTGGGGCATTTAAAAATATCCGGCCCAATTCATATGTATTTACATATTAATACCTACGTTTTACTTTTTATTTTATTTTATTTATACAACCCAAATCATGTATTTACATATTAATACCTACGTTTTACTTTTTTTTTTATTTATGCAATCCTAATTTTTTATTTCAGCTAAAAAATACCACAATTTTTAGCTTTTAAACACTAATACTACACCTTTTCATGCATAGGGAAGGTGGCCATATGTAAAAATTAAAATATGGATGTTAGATATGTAAATACATAAGAATTGAATGTTTTGTGTGTAAAGATACCTTTTTTTTTTCTTTTGCAATTTTTATATCTATGATGATTGATTCAGCCATCACTGAAATTGATAAAGCTCAATTGAAATTTAGTTCTTATTTTGTAGATCACACAATCCTCGATATGACCTCAATTTTCCTTCTAATCCTTCTGATGTTGATGCAGGGTGGTGCCGGTGGAAGGCCTGCTTTTGGTCGTGGCGGCGGCGGCGGTGGCTACGGAGCACCTGCTTCATCTTCTCTGGAGTAGGCAAGCTTGTTTTTTGTATGCATTATTATATCTTTCCGAATATTTCAGACATGTTTTGTTGAATGAATCATCTCAATTTTCATGACAGTTGAGAAGTTATTGTTATTTTGTTCAGGTGATTTATGTTTGCATTTTGTAGCTATAAGAGAGAGTTTCGTCTCTATTTCCTGAAAAACCTGACTTTTCTTCGCTTAATTTATAAGAAACTATGAATTGGAGTTATGATTTATATTTTAGAGTTCACTTTCTTGCGTACATTGTAGGTTATTCGGAGGGTATAACTAGGTTACACTTAAGTTATACCCCATTGTAATTCTTCCTGTAACCTAAAATGTACTCAACTCTGCGTACATTTTCCGTATGCAAATATTTCTCCCGACTGTTTTCGAGTTCAGTTTTGGGGACTGAAATTGCAATACTTGTTAAATAACTGTACTCAATAATATTTTAAAAGAAGATTTAAATACACACCACTCAATTCTTATGTATTTACATATCTTTCCTATGCATGAAAAAGTTTATTTCTCTTTCTAAAAGTTGATTTGGTGGTATTTTGCACTTGCTATGGAAGTTTTGGGTGGTATAAATGTAAACGAAAAGCGAAGTTTAGGTGTTAGACATGTAAATACATAGGAGTTGGGTGATATGTGTGAATGCCCCCTCTTTGATTTGCTAATTAATTCATTGTGTTTCAATTGTACAACTTATTAGATATGCAATTCTTTTTGCAGCCGAACTGCCCTCAAATTTTGATTTAAAAGTAAACATTAATGCTTGCTTTTTGGCTAATGTCAATGGTGTACCATTTGCAAGATTAAATGTGGAGGATGCAATGGCACTCTAGGTAAATGTAAGTTGAGAAAGCAGTTCATTGAAATCTCTCATGTCATTTAAGTTATTGAGAAATTCGTCTATGTTTGTGCATTTTTAGTCATGTTGGGGAGCTCATGAGCCGAGCTTATAAATCATGAGCTTGAGCTTAGTGATTATGGCTCGTGTTGTAAGTGAGCTCGAGTTCGAGTTTGACTCGGTTGATTGAATATTGTTGGGAAATTTACATATGGACCTTACGTATCTTATGTGTTTGCATGTCTAGCATCAAAATTTTACATATTTATATTTATAACATTATGGTGACAAATCTTTACATGAAAAAGTTCAATTCACTTGGAAAAATTATATACAACAACAACAACAAAGCCTTAATCTTA